AGATGTAACATAATAATCTACTCAGTCAGCCTGTCCCATATTGTATCAAATTTTTAATGGTGATTATAACTACCTCCCGAAAATTAGTTTCTGTGTCCCTATGCTTTATATGGTTTCTTCGAACCCTTCCATTGCTGCTGCCGTCTTGTGTTGGTAATGGATATTCATTATTCAGTATTGACAAACAACTCAAGAACTTCCCCGCGAAAGAAGCCTTTCAGCCAATAACAACGCGCGACAACGCGACAACTTGTGAGCACGTTGGAAAAAACATTGTTCGAATCAAAAAAGTATTTTTTTACCTCAGCCCCAGGTTAAAGAATAAACAATGATTCATCGTGCGTTATTTATAAACTGTCCATCTCGTCAAAATTTTGAGCACTACTTGCATTATTCTGTCGCAAGTTGTACCACTTTCACTTCAACGTGATCACCGAATCCACATAAAAATGATAATGTGAACTACATATGTAAGCGCGTAGTTAATTTAAAGTGTTAAGTCTCATTTGCTTGTTGTTTTTTCAGCACGTAATTAACAACATGACACTCCATAGCTAGAACTCCGATCTTTCAGAATTTTCAAAACTGCGGGAGTTTATTTTTTAATTTTCATACAGCAGCGTATTGAAGTTGGAATACCTTGAGACATAGTACATCGCAGTAATTCATTATTTAAAGTGTCCTTATATGGTAATGATCCGTTATTTTATTTCGTTTATGGTAATGACCAGTTATTTAAACTTTCCATTTATGGTGATCACCGTTATAGTTTTCATATAGGGTGATGACCAGTTTATACATGGTAATGACCAGTTATTTAATGCTTCCATATATGGTGATGACCATTATTTAAAAATTTCATATATTATGATGACCAGTTATTGAATGTTTCCATTTATTGTATTGTATTTTATTTTCATTTAGCTGATGGTAAATCATGTGGTGATATAAACGAATGTAAAAATGGAAATGGTGGTTGTATCAACTCCAACTGTACAAACACAGATGGTAGTTATTGGTGTGAATGTTTACCTGGTTATGAACAATCAGAAATAACTCCACACAAGTGTGACGCTAAATCATGTTCACCATTAATCACAGTAGTATTTTGGTTCGTGAAAAGTTTGCTCTACAAGGTTTGTATACATGGTGATTTTTTTGATTTTACATCCATAACCTTTGATAGCGTGATTTAGTTTTCTTCATTCTTTAATATCAAATACAAAAAAAATTATCAGTATAATAACAATAGATTAAATTAACACTGACTCTGAGTACTTTCAAAATTCCAAATTTTTCTCTGTAGTCAAGCAAATGAATTTTTTACATAAAACTTCTTTCAGGTTATTCCAAACGTTGAATATCTACCATGAACGATAAATCAACTAATTTTTACTCAATTCCCTCGTTGTTAACGGTTCTCTTGATTATGAAGAAAACGTGTACATTATTTGGTTGGCTGTTGCAGATCCAAGAGAATGGAGCTCAAAGAATTTCGGATCAAGTAACCGATGTAAACGAAGCTCAACTGATATTTTGATGTCTGAAAATTTTGTAGCAGAGAATTCTCCTGCTTCAACAGTGATTGGAAAGTTTTGGTGAGTTAAACATCAATCGGTGCTTAGATTTCTTGTTTGTTTATAAGATATACCGAGATTCCCCAAGGCAATGTTTTTAAAATATAGATGCTCTTTTAAGAGTTTTACTGTCTCATTTTCAATTCTTTCAAAACTTCACACTATTGTAACTTCGTGCAAAACAATTTCAATCTAATCAACACTAAACATGTTTTAGTTAGAAAGAACTTATACTTAACAAGGAACATACAATTATCTTGTAAACTTAGCCTAGAACACATTAAGAGTGTACCTCTGTCACAGGTAAAGATCCAGATGTAAAAGTGTGCCACCTCAGATCCATCATTGCTCCTTGAGAACTCATTTAATGGGGACGAAGATGAAGATGAGTTTTACATTACTCACGAAACTGATAGCAATTTTCTACGAGTTAAATATAATAGCCTTCGATTTTGAAGAAAGAAATGATTACAATAAATGTCACTTGTAAAGATGCTGCTGGCCTCGATATTTCAAAGTCATTTAAAGTTTTCATCACTGGTAAGTCTATCTTTTAACCCTTTACTTTCCAAGTTTTGATCCTATGAGTTTGGGATGATTTCATTAATGTTGTGACAACGCTGGGAAAAAGGGTTAATTACATTAAGTAATTGGAGTTACAGAAAGTAAGAGTTTATGTTGAGTTATCTCTCAGTTTATTAATGTTTATTAAGCCCTTATTAAGCGAGCTCATGGTCTTTATGGAAAATATCGGATCTAAGTTATTTTTGAACAGACCAAGCCCGTAGGGGAGTAAAGTATAAACTTAAAAATCCACCATATGAAAATGCAAACTGACAAATCATTTTGCATAAATATGCATATATTGAATTTACTAAAAACGGCAGTTATTATAATATAAGGAAACGTTAATTTTGCTGAATAAAACTCTTTGAATTTTACTTATGTCATGTAGTAAACCCTCCTGAAGGAGTAAATCCTCCTGAGAGAGAAAACCCTCTTGAGGGAGAAAACCCTCCTGAGGGAGAAAACCCTCCTGAGGAAGAAAACCCTCCTGAGGGAGAAAACCCTCCTGAAGTTAATCCTCTGAGGAGAAAACCGAGGAGAAAGAGCCTACGGGAGAAAACCCTCTTGAGGGAGAAAGCCCTCTGAGGGAGAAAACTCCTGGGGAGTAAATCCTCCTGAGGAGAAAACCCTCCTGAGGGAGTAAATCCTTGAGGAAGTAGGGTGAGGGATGGAGAATCCTCCCGAGGGAGCTCCAGGAGAAAAGAACTGAGGAGAAAACTTTACTGGAAGAGTCCATAGAAACAAACGATGAAAACAATTGGAGACCAATAACAGAAGAACAAGGAAGTTTGAATGAAAATCCAGTCCGACATCGGACAAGCAACGAGTATGCAAACAATTACTAAATATCACACAATTTTGATATCAAGCCTAAGGCACACACATATAAGTCATTAAATTAAATATATTTGTTAGTACGACTACAAGATTGTTTTCGTTCTCTGTTGCTCATTCATTTACCTTTACATACTGATACACGTTGAAACAACTCGGACTGTTATTTGCCAACTATTGCTCACCAATCTCTAACGATCAATCAATATTTTTGCATAATCAGCGCTCTCACTCATTGCGTCATTTTGCCATGGAAACATGCATTAGGTTGTCAAAGATGGCGGATAGAAACTAACATTTGAAGGAACAATATTTAGACAATTTAAAGAAATGTCTTCTTTCGTAAAACGAATGGTTTGGTTGACGAGTTTGATGAAAGGAGGCGTTTAAGACCTTGTCGTGTATCGTTGTAACTTTATGATGTTAATTTTGGCAGCATTCAATTAAATAATTAGCTTCGCTTTTAAGTTTGACAGCCTCGTTTAATGACATTATATACTTGATAATTTGCCTTATGCGATTGTTTGATCTTTAACTGTCGGCTTTATGTTATAGCTAAAATTTCAAGTGAGCAGATTTTTGCAGAAGTTTCTTATGGCTTATTTTTAATAAACCTATCAAAAAATGGGAAAATGTATTGTACATATAAAATCGAGCGAATATAGTATTCGTCTTTAATTTATCTGCGAAGCCTCTAAAGGAAAAATTGATTCTATCGATTGCATACGAAAGACAAGAGACCTTTGCACAGAGTTGACGTCGTTTTATCCTCAAAATGAGCTTGTAATAGAAAGTTACGGTGAAATAAGATCAAATGTTAGTAGTAAAGCGAAAAAATATTTTAGTTATGGACACTTAGAAATTGATTATCGAGCTCCGAAGCAAGTTTCACGAAAATCAGCTATCTCGACGCGATGTATGTCTTTGTTTTCTTTTCGCAATAAGATGTCTTTCTCAGGAAAACAAAGATTTTCGTTGTCTAAATTTAAATTGATTTCTGTTTTCATGACTTTAACGAAAAGAAAATCGAGATGTGAATAAGTTTGTTGGTGTTTACTCCATGAGAACAGGTTGATTTTGTATTTGAATTTTGTCCTTTACCTTGGTGTTTTGTATGCTCTTTATACCTTGCCGTTTGTATTATACATTAATTACTTGTTTACTCATTTTGACTTTGTACATTGATGTACTACCTTTCATATTCTGAGTTTTTACTTATACTGTACCTTATGCTCTTGCTTACTTATTGCCATACTTGAACATTCTTGTTTTACTCATTTGTGTACTGGTGTTGTACATTGATGTACTTGTCTTACACCTGTTTACTTGTCTTACACCTTATATTCTTTATTTGACAGTCATGGGAAAAACACAAACCCTTTTCATACTCATGGTGGAACAATTAATCCGACAAAGTTATTTAGCAAGGTTTTGTTGCAATTTAATTTTATTTTATTTTCCAACTTATCCAATAATTTCCTTGAATAATTATTATGAGTAAGTTTCTCTTGCTCTGGCTGAGTTTCATTTTATCCATCTACTTATACATTTGTGAGATTTTGAAACAGGTTATGGGACATAATCGTTACTTAGCTTACTCTAAATAGATTCAACGAGATGAAACTAAAGTTTCAAAGACCTTTACTTGTTGAGGTAAACATATTGAATTTTACAAAATCTTAAACATCAAAATATACTCTATTTTATGGTGTACAATCCAAGTTCTCTTTTGGTTATGAAAATCATTGCTAGTGTGGGTTGTAGAAAATGTATTCTGACAAATCCTTTTGAATATTTGACAACATTGCTTATTATATTTTCATTTATTGATAATAAGAAACGTTGTTTACTGAAAGAAACTCTTTAAATTTAGCTACGTCATGGAGAAAACCTTCCTGAGAGAAAGCATCCTGAGGGAGAAACCATCTCCTACCAGAAAACCCTCATATGGACCAAACCATCTAGAAAACCATTGACCCCTTCCTGAAAACCTCTGAGGAGAAAAACCTTCTGAGGAGAAAACCTTCCTGAGAGAAAACTCTGATGGTGATGTTGATAATGCTAAAGAAGTCGGAAATTCTCCTGATGTTGAAAATACAGAACAAGGTATCCTTTCAATTCTAATTTATTTTATATATATTGCGTGACCTAAGATATTTGTTTTGAATTGTATCACAATCCATTTGATTGATATTTATGTGTTTTTATGAAGATTTATATTATTTAATAATATGCATGATGTACGTATACAGTGTTGCACTTTCGGACTCCAAACGTTCGTTTATTACGTATGTTCAATACAGTATCAATGACTTAAATTTTTCTTTTGCGAACGACAAATAATTTAAATGTACTGTGTACCAGACGGCAGTGCTCAGCACAATTTGACAAGTCTTTGTTTATCTCAAGAAATACTGCGTAGCACAAAGTGGCGCAACTCTTTTATAAAGTGCTCAAATTGACTACATTTCATAAGTTCCATTAAAGAAAAGGATTATAATAAATAGACTAATACCTTTTAAAACAAATCTTGACATAATGTACACCATACAGATCAGACCCTGCATTTTAGAAGTGTTCAGGTTAGACCATCTGTTTTAAAAGTGCTCGTGTTTGATTACATTAATTATTATTTTCTTTGTTAGAGTACAAGAGATTAGTCGGAGTATAACTTTATTTCCAGATAGAAATTATGTTTTTTGCTCCTGGCTTACAGCATCGAAAGTGTTGACACAATTGAAAAAAACATCACTAAGTAATTTTCTTCATATACAGTCTTCAGTCAACCTTTACATTAACAAATGTTATGAAATATATGAATTTTTCATCACATGTCTAAGCAACATTGAATGGTAACATTTGCACCTGGTTTCATCTGTTTTAATCATGACAGTAAAATCTTGTCACTTCACAATTTGTACTTGAAGCACATTATAGTCAGTTTAAATTAAGATGAGACATGAGGTGATAATGACATCGTGCAATCTATTTTTTTAAAGTAACGTTTATTTGTATTCTGCTTGTTTAATCATAAAAACCTCTCAACAAACTATCTTTTGGATATACTGTCATACTTCACGTTTGCACCACTATGCATACACTACCTAGCTAATGACATTGAAAATTATGCAAAGAAAGGCCACCATCAAATCCACTTGCTCAATATACTTCAATAGATAAAAATTCCTGTTCATTGTAAGTAAAATACCTCAAAATCACATGGAAAATAAGCCACCTTGAGGATGTGAATTCTCAAGGTTCCACAGTAAAAAGAAGGCTATTTGAAATTTTCATTATGACAAATGTAGCATTAAATTGCACATTTATTAAACGATCTTCTAAATTCTAAATTTACAGAAAATTACAAGATTTTTCGAGCTCTCTCTTTGCTAAGTATACTGGAGATTACCTCTTCAGTGTGAACATCATTCAAAAGTCCACAAAGATCATTTTCTAGCTTAGAATTAAATTTTCAATACTTTTACTTAGAATTTCATTTTGAAACTTGCATAGAGCATAAAAGTTGCTGTATCAGTTTTCTACTAGAAAATTTCCCAAAATAGATAAACAAATAACGTTACTAATCGCAAAACATAAAAACAACGACTGTTTTTATTGATTTCAAAAAATGACTCCCACTGATCTCAAAATAAATAAATATAATTATTTCGACTATATTAGAAGAGCAAGTGACTCCAAAAATCTCATTTATGATTCAAACTGTGTCTTAATTGATGATTGTCAACTGGCTTGATGACCTCCATTAAAAAGTGCACGTCAATCAGTTCAAGCCATTTACGACTTAAGCCACCCGATTGAGTAAGAGTAACACTACCGCTTAAATATCGCTTACAGAACTCAACGGCTGTATCATGTTTTCTTAGATATCGTAGCACTGACCACTGTATAGAGGGCCGAAACTATAACTTTTGGTGGGTTGGGGGAGGGGGTGCTTAATAACGCTGCTGATGAAATATCGCTTACGGAACTCAATAGATGTATCATGTTTTCTCAGATATTGTAGCACAGACCACTGTTTAGAGGGCCGAAACTGTAATTTATATTGGGGTGGGGAAGGGGTGTTTAATAACGCTGCTGCTAAAATATCGCTTGCAGAATTTAATGGCTGTGACATGTTTTCTCAGATATTGTAGCACGGATTACTTTATAGAGGGCCGAAACTATAACTTTTAGTAGTGCGGGGGAGAGGATATTCTTTAACGCTGCTGATGAAATTGCTTACAGAACTTAATCGCTGTATCATGTTTTCTCAGATAGATTATCAGTGACCATTGTATAGAGGGGCAAAACTAGAACGTTAATTGGGTAGGAGATGGGGTGTTTAATAACGCTGCTGATGAGATGCCGCTGACAGAACTCAATGCCTGTATCATGTTTTCTTAGATATTGTAGCACGCACCACTGTATAGAGGATCGAGACTAGAGTGTTTAATGGGTGGGAGAGGGGGGGTATTCATATTTTCAATTGTGGTCTACTGATTTCTTGTGAATGCCAACGTATTCTACATTTAACATAATGCAAATATAGTTAAACAAATAGACCAATAAATAGACAGTTACATGGCTAGATATAAAATTGATTTGAAAATTTTATGTGAAAGCTGGGAAATGATTTGCTCAATTGCTGTCTTTAACTTTATTTATAAGAGAGCTCTAGAGGAGCGTTGTATTGTACGAGATAATTTTTCAAATTATTAAAAGTTGATTGTGGTAGCCAAAGATAATTAAATTTTCTACATCGTACATATAATGCATCCAAATATGAAAAAGATGTTACAAGATTTGAAGCCAAAAGTTCGATCATTTGCTTGTATCGTTCGTGTTGCTTATCTTGTCAATTTATTATACTTTAACACTACAACATTATGATTTCCTTCACATGTTTCTAAAACCGACAAGAATTTTATCAAAAGGACTGAAAGATATGATAAGAATTTAAATCACTTACTTTTTTTGTGGTGTTAAAAATTTATTGAATTGCATGATTCCTTTTCTAGCCGAGTAAAAATTTCATCAAAATGGAAATTTTCTCGATAACGAAAACCCTGACACAATAGACACATGACAGACAAATTGTTTCTTGCAAATAATCATCATATGCTTAATAAAATAATTGAAAACTGCAAATAACAATTTTCAATTCGGCAAAGGGAAAACAATACTAGCAATCATTTTAAAGATCGCAAATACCATGGTGAATGGTAAAAGTAATTCACCATGGTATTTGCGATCTTCAAAACGATTTTCAGATTTGTCACCACGACAAAGTCTCTATTTTAATACAAACAATTTTGCACAAGAATGAGAAAAAGCATGAGGTAGAGTTTGAGTTTGTAGAAATATAGATAACGTGGTTCACTTTACCAATGAATAAGAGAAACAATACGTGTCAGATAATTTAGAGTTAAAGCATAAAATGCCTATGAAACGAAAATTTAACCTTTGTTATACTTTTATTGAACAGACATTTTAATATGATAATGGACTTTCTGTACTAGTTTATAGTTTATGCGTATCACTTTTCATTCTCGATATATTAAAGTTTTTATTATGTCCGATTTATCTGATGTCACACTGGAAATGAAAACTAGATGTATTAGGTAAATTTGCTGATACATTATTGTAACATGGAGGAGTTTCCTTCTTTGTGATGTGTTAATGATATAAAATACTGCGTACCATTATCAACCTAAAGTTGTCAGGAAAGTGAAGGGTATTTGAAACATTGCAGCGACCATTTTGTATGCAGTATGATGTCACAAATGAGATAAATTGGTAGTTGCAAAGACTTCAATATTTTTAGAATGAAAAAAGTCATGCAGAAAAGTTTTAAAAAGCACTCTGTCTTTTCAAAAGTCTTGGTCAATACAGATATAATTTAACCAGCAAAATTTTCGTTTCATTGGCACTTTAAGATGTCCAAACAAGGTTTGAGAGAATAATTGTAGAGATCGAACTTCAATATTAATGTTTGGCAACAAACATAAGATAGTCTATATAAAAGACGAGTGTCGAGAATAGAAAGAAAAATTGAATGAAGCTATTTTGTTATCTTTTGGTATAAAAAATTTTTTTAGACTCTAAAAAATATATGCTCTCAAAATTTTAATTTAATATTTTCAAAAAACGCAAGGTTACTCCTTAAGAAAAATTCATGAAATTACTGCAGAGAGAAGTTTTGCTCATTAATTGTTTGGTATAAGCTAACCTCAAATGCTATACTTAAAAAATTTATGATATGTCTAATAATTGTTAATACGTTTTTAAAAGTGTACGGTATCAGTATCCTTTCCTAATTGGGGATGTTTAAGCTATTTTGATATATTTATTTTGTTTCTTCAACACTTAAATGTAATATTTTTCTGTAGAAGAGTGGAAATGCATTGATGAATCATCGAAACATAGAGAATTGCTTTTAAAATTGATTGAATATGGACGCAATTCCAGTGTTGATATTAAAGAGGTGGGCAATGTGCGTGTAATATTTTCAGAAGAATTTTGCATTGGCTATGGAAGTAATGCAACCCGTGTTTTTCTTGGACTGGGTAAAGATGGTTACGGTAAAGCAGTGAAACGAATACATCGAGATAGCTACATCCAGCTTGCACATCACGAAAAGAAAATTTTAAATGAATTCAATGCAAAAAAGTCGAAATATGTTGTGAATTATTTCTACTTAGAAGAAGATGCTGGAACAGAATATGTTTATTTAATATTAGACTTATGTGAAGAATCATTGGAGAGTTTTGTCAAGTCTTCTACTTTGCATGATCTTCAAAAAGCTCTTCCTGATATTCTTACACAAATTTTAAAAGGATTAGCTGATCTTCATAGTGGCCCAAATCGTATTCTACATCGGGATTTGAAGCCTTCCAATGTTCTACGAGACTCAAAAAGCAAATTTCTGATAGCTGACTTTGGCATAAGTCGAAAAATCCAGAATGACACTACATCATATAAAAGCGATACTTCCATGGGAACTTTGGATTGGATAGCTCCTGAATCATATTGCGAAGATGATGATTCAGGAAATAAAGCGAGTTACCAAAGAAGGTCTGATGTATATGTAAGTGTAGGAATGTAAACATTTGTAAGTTGTAAAGAAACATTTTGATGTAACGCTTTTTATTATTTTAGAATGCAGGGATGGTAGCTTATTATGTTGCAACAAAAGGAAAACATCCTTTTGGAACTAAACTACTATATAGACAGATCAACATGCTGAATGGAAACCCTGTTGGTTTGGATGAAATCAAGGATAAAACACTAAGTGACCTTCTGTCGTGGATGTTAAATCTAAAACCTGAAGACAGACCATATTCTAACGAAGCATTAAAACATCCATTTCTTATGTCAGATAATGAGAAGTTTGAAATGTTAAGTAAAGTTGGGAATCTTCAACAGATTAAGACAAATGATCCCCAGTCAAGTGTCGTTCAAAAATTGAATAGCGAATCCGTACATTGGAAAAGTCAAATGGATTGTGATGTTTATGATTATTTGGTGAATGGAAGGCCCTATAAATCTTCATGGACAGAATGCTTAAGACTTATTCGAAATGTTCACCAACATTGGAAAGATCGACCACGACCTCTACCACAACCAGAATCATTTTATAAAATTGGCGATTACAGGGCGTATTTTCTCCGAACATTTCCTAGTCTCCCTGTTCGGGTACATGCTGCTGTCAGGTCAAATGAAAAATTGAAAAACGAACTAGAACTCTAAAATATTTTTAATTTTAATGAAAGCTAACTACATCAATAAACAATTTAGATACAACAGAACCTGTTAGGGGTAAAACAAGTAGCTATTAAGAAATCATTGATACTGTAGAGATCTAATTATATAGATATAAAGAAAAACAGTTTCCACGACGTATTTAGATGATATTTCACCACATTTCTGGTGAATCTATAGCCTGTGGTATTCATTGATACAATGTAATATACCTGATTATTTAATTTTTACTATAAATTGTTTTGGAAAAAGACTGAAGGCGAATATGACATTAAAAGTTAACTTTTATGTTTGACTGCACTGATAAATTTTGCACTACATTCATCCAACACAATAAACTCGTATACAATAAAAAATTGTATTTCTGAAATTATTATAATTACTAAAAGTCTGGCCTTGGTGTTTTGAGCTCTTGGGAGTTCCTTATCGTATAAACCTGACCATCAGGAGTTGTGCATAAATCCATAAGTAGAATCTTTTGTGTTTTACTATGTCACATTAATTACGTAGCTGATCAATATAAAATAGTTGATTTAAATAACATTTTCATGAGATTGAGTGATTGACAGCATTTCGTCTAATAATTTGTTTATGGACTCAATAATATTTCAAGTAGTTTTATAGAAAAATATTCATAGTTGTCATAATTTTTTGATATTTTGCTTATTTCTTGCGCTGTAACCATGACAATTATTTTGTGCCTAAACCCACGTATCTAAAATGCAAGTGCTGTGTATTTAAGATTTCTTAAATGAATATTGAATATACACCTAAATACACGTATGCTTAACTACGGCGCTCTCTATTGCCTATATTCTAAAAACTCTCTCACACTCACATTTACTGAGTATAGTTTAAAATAATGTTATAACTGCTGGAAGACCTTGTATTTACTCAACAGATAGAAAATAGTGCAAAGTTATGTTGATTTTATCATCTCAGATCCCATATCATCTGGTAGGTATCCGCACATTTATGTCACATGAAAGCACTCAGTAATAGCTTGCAATAGTAACTAATCTTCATCAATCTTCACAAAACTATAAGTTATTTTGTATTTGTTTACAAACCAAATAGTATGCTTTTTTAAAGGGCCTATGACACGAAAATTTTTATGTTTGCAATGACCAGAACTTTTAAAATGTTAGTGTACTTTCTAAAACAGTTTATGCATATCTCTTTTAATTCTTGAGATATGAGGTTTATGCTATGTCCGATTTATCTAAATTGTGACGTCGCATTGAATAATGAGAGCTAGGAGTATTATCTATATTTAACAATACTTTACTTTACAAGGACATAGTTTCATTTGTTGTGGCGTGTTTAATGGTATAAAATGCTGCTTATTAGTATGAACCTAAAGTTGTCAGGAAAATGAAGAGTATTTGAAACATTTTGAGAACTCATTATGCAACATGACGTCACAAGTTGGATGAAATAGAAATAACAAAAACTTCAATATCTCGCGAAGGAAAAGAGATATGCATTAACTGTTTTAGAAAGTACACTGTCATTTCAAAAGTTCTGGTCATTGCAAACATAAAAATGTTCATGTCATGGGCACTTTAAACGTCATAAGTAAATGTACATTTCCAAGTATAACATTGGGCTGAATTGTAAGGGATGTTTTATACCCCTTAGTAAATATGTATGCTTTATAACTTATAAAGCGATAGATAAAGCTGATAAACCACCTGCTGGAATTCACTATCCACCAGCTATAGGACGACCTTTCACTTGAGGGAAACGAATGTAAATTATAATCCCATTTACCCCCAAATTGGATGGAAGTGTCAATAACCATTTTGAACATTTTTAAAAAGCCAAAATTTAATTTAATCAAATTGAAGCATTCGTTTGTACTATTTATTTTATTTCATGAAAAATGGCTATTCTTTTCTACACATAAACTACGTAAAAAGAAGAAACTCGTCTTCTTTACTTTAAAGACTTCTTCCGAGTGAATGAATTTCAAAAAAATTTGTTTTCAGACTGGAACACATGTATTTGCCAATAAGAACTGAGAACATAATTATCTTAAACATACGAATAGCCATAAATGCCTTTCCTATTACAATGTACAATTTGAGATGTTTACGTGAAAAATCACTTAAAAACTTCAACTCTCATATGGGTATTTCTGACACAAGAACGGTGTATTTGGGAATCGAACCCAGAGACTAAATTGTACCGCTCAAAAAATTTGTTTGACATTTTGGGTAAATTAAAGCAGTTTAGAATAAATTAAGCAGATCATAGATTTATTAAATAATTCAGAAATCTTATCTTGCAAAGATTGTCAGACAGTCAAAAATGGTTCATGGTCACGTTAACTTTATCGAGAGCACGTACTCTAAAAACTTCTTTTACAAAATGAATTCTGTCTTTAGTTTTGATGATTGTATATAACATGAAGTAGAACTTTAGTCTCTCGCTGAAGTCACAGTTTTTTTTTAGACTTAACCGAAATAAAAAAATCCCTAATGGCAAATCCCAAACGGCATAAACCAAAACCGAGCATGAAGGCACGAGAACTTAGAGAATACTGAACAGGAAAAAACCACTAGGGATTTTAGCCGAAATTCCGCGCCCAGAGGGAACCCTTACAAACAATAATTTTCACATACCTTTGAAGCAATTCAAAAAGCCAAAACGTCAAAAAAGTAAAAAAGAAAGATTAAAATGCACTTTCAAGTCTGAAAATATGGTCTGTAAGGTACATAGTCATTTTTGTAAAATTCTCCATTTTTAACGAACACGGAATTTGCTACTGTTTACTGACACACAAATCTATCATCGAACTGAACAATTTTCTACTTTGAACGAGAAAATTGTTATTGATGAGAATTTCGTAAAACGTGTGCTTTTCTCATCTAATCCATATCCGAATGATTGAGACAATACCTTAGCTGATATCCTAGAGTATCAGATGGAACATTGTTGGGGATTAAGACAATACCTTAGCTGATATCTTAGAGTATCACATGGAACATTGTTGGTCGTGGATCCAGGGTGATGCAACTAATGCAAATGCCTCAGTCAGATTATTTTAATGATTTCATAATTTTCATTACTTTGTTACTTCGCTTGGTCTACTTTAAGTTCAAGCTAGAACTTAATAAAAATCTCAAGTCTAGGAATTTTTCTTAACCAAAAAGATTAATCGTCGCCAATTTTTGTTGCTATTACTGTTATTTACCTTTATCTAACAAAACGTAAACATTCGCGAATCAATACAAAGACGGTCTCCTAAATAATATTCATAATTGTAAAATATGTCTAATGATGCAATCTTTTCATCGGAAATATCGTTCAATATTTAACTCAGAAAATTTATAATACGATACGAGACGATACGGTAGTTAAAGGATTTATTTTGTAGATGTAAAGTAGCAAGCCACTTTTCACGACGTATTTGGATGATGTATAATCACATTTCTGCATCTAGCTTACATTATTGAATGATATAATATCTGATTATTTAAATTTTATTCTCATTTGCTTTTGTTGAAGACGTATGACATTTAAAGTCAACTTTATAAAATACATAATAAAACTCTTATACCATAGTAAATGGTATTTCTGGAGTTTCAATATTACCAAGATCCCGTTTATTAAAGTATTAAAAGGCAGTGATAATGGTTAATGCCAGAAGCACAATTGAATGGACTTAAGCTCTGAATTTAATAAACATTAATTATCTGAAGAGACTGAACAAAGGCAATTAAAAAAGCAAATTAAGCCTTTACAGCAAACGAAGAGTGAATCCGGTATAGCACGCAGCTTAATAGTCTGGTCTTGCACCCGTTTCGCTCATTCTAAATGGGTATTACTCAGAGTTCTAAACTTTAGGGGGTGTTTTTCATGAATCCGGAATGACTTTCAATTCCAATCGAAACGTGATGTCAATCCACGTTTATATGGGAAATCAACACAAGGATTGACTTTTCGCAGGAATTTTGAATTTTGAAGATAACGAACTTAAACATTATAACAACCCTTTTCTTTCCTTTCGTTTCTGAGTTAATACAGCTTAATACTTGCATAAAACTAATTGTTGCTTTTTTTCGCACTCATTATAGCCCATTTAGCCGCCTTATTTGCTCTTGTTATTTACTGATGCTGCTAATATACCTAGCACTAGATATTCCCCTCCCAATTTCATTGATTCAACCACTGCATCTCACGAAGTCCTCCCTGGAGAGTGGAGACATGTTGTGGGTTCACAAAACATTTTTGAGAATATTAAAAGACTTTCAAGTGCTCGTGCTTCTAGAGCTGCTACAACAACCAGAAATGACTTTAAATCATTTTTTATGTCTCCTTTAGGAAAGCTACCATGGCAAGATCATGTAATACAACGAGGTTTTCTTAACTAAATGAATATTCAATTGTATGAAATAATAGATTGTTACTTATAAAATATAGAAAGTTATTGGTCTACATTGTTTTCATAAAGTTTTTGTTCCATTTCAAACAAATATTTTATGAATGGAAAATTTAGCTTCAGATTTCAACTTGCCTGGAAGCTTTCGGTGAGTGTCAGCCACAGTATCTGAAAAGCGACTTTCTTCATCAATTTTGTTTCTCTTTCTTCTCTAATCTTTTTCAAAGAATCAAGTCTTTCACAAACTGCTGTCTCTAAATGTGCAGATCTCTTTCTACAGCCCTTGGTCTGGTTTACAACAGCTCTACTCAAAGCAATTGTGGAAGGGGCAAATGGGTCACTACTTACTGGTGTGGTAGGTTTGGTAGGTAATGTAGGTGTTGTACACGAATTTTCACTGACATTTGAATCGCTTCTACTTGTTGAGGGAGACCATGCGGTTAGGTCAAACTCCTCCATATTTATCGTAATAAAATTTTCTTCTAGTGGAAGGGATTCTGATGTTGTTATAGGTTCTTCAGTGTTCTCCTACAATCACAAAAACAACAACAGATGTAATATAATAATCTACTCAATCAGTCAGCCTGTCCCATATTGTATCGATTTTTTTTTAATGGTGATTATAACTACCTCCCGAAAATTAGTTTCTGTGTCCCTATGCTTTATATGATCAGACAACCAAGACAGACTGAGGAATATCTGTGGGATAGATTTGCCACCAGCATCAGTGGTTCACCTAACGGGGGATGTCAAGATGTTTGTAACGCTGCAGATGGATCGTGTTTATGTGTAACTCGCCCAGGCTATGAACTTCAAGGTAATGACTATTCAATACATATTTTTCCAAACAAACTTCAACAAAAAAAACAAGTCTTTTAGTCATCAAATATTGTAATGCTTGAAGCATCAGATTTTTCACCACCCCTGTAAAAAAAAACATGAAAATCCGTCCATTGTTCAAAGCATGTAGTAAGTAAGAAAATGGGCAAATGTGACCACGTTGGAAAAAACATTGTTCGAATCGAAAAAGTATTTTTTTACCTCAGCCCCAAGTTAAAGAAGAAACAACGATTCATCGTGCGTTATTTATAAACTGTCCGTCTCGTCAAAATTTTGAGCACTACTTGCATTATTCTGTCGCAAGTTGTACCACTTTCACTTCAACGTGATCACCGAATCCACATAAAAATGATAATGTAAACTACATATGTAAGCGCGTAGTTAATTTAAAGTGTTAAGTCTCATTTGCTTGTTTTTTCAGCACGTAATTAACAACATGACACTCCATAGCTAGAACTCCGATCTTTCAGAATTTTCAAAACTGCGGGAGTTTATTCTGTAATTTTCATACAGCAGCGTATTGAAGTTGGAATACCTTGAGACATAGTACATCGCAGTAATTCATTATTTAAAGTGTCCTTATATGGTAATGATCGATTATTTTAATTCATTTATGGTAATGACCAGTTATTTAAACTTTCCATTTATGGTGATCACCCGTTACAGTTTTCATATAGGGTAATAACCAGTTTTTCCATACATGGTAATGACCAGTTATTGAATGTTTCCATTTATTGTATTGTATTTTATTTTCATTCAGCTGATGGTAAATCATGTGGTGATGTAGACGAATGTAAAAATAGAAATGGTGGTTGTATAAATTCCAACTGTATAAACACAGATGGTAGTTATTGGTGTGACTGTTTATCTGGTTATAAACAATCAGAAATAACTCCACACAAGTGTGAACCTAAATCATGTTCACCATTGATCTCACCTCCATGTCCGTCAAATGCATATCATGATGAGTTTGGAACAGCTTGCAAGCCTGCACGCATCATTTGCCCACACGGACATGAATATTTGAAATTCTGTTCCATTGACTGTGATGGCAATTTCAAACTAGCTGCCATTGAATCCACAAACATCCCTAACGCCTTCGCTAGAAACTTCCTTGGGATAAATTTCAACGTATCCATTGAGAGGGCTCAATGTATATTGGACGGTAACACCGAGAATGTTGCTTGGGACTGGGACCCAATTGCTGTACCCTATTACTGCAGGAGAGAAAACGATCCACCTTTACATATACATTTCTCGAGAGCTTATATCAATGAGAAAATGAGCATTTTTACCATTGTCGGCTTTTTCTATGCATACGATTTTCAAAATGATCCCTTGACGTTCACAATAATGAATGCGGACGCAAATTATTATTTTCTTCTTCAAGGAAGAGCATTGTTGGTAAAAAGACGTTTGGTGTGGAAACCCCGGTCAGATAATATTTACACTGTTAAAATTAATGTGAGCGACAATGGTTCACCTGTTATGTTTACTACAACTAGTTTTAACATTACTGTGTTGAACATTAATGATCCTCCTTACGATATTAAACTTTCAAATAACGAAGTGCTTGAAAATGTCAATATTGGTTTTGTTGTTGGTAATCTAACAGCTAGAGACGATGATCTTGATCAAAAACACACTTCAAATTTTGACTGGGAATTGGTTGACTCTGGTAATGGTTACTTCAAGTTGTTAGATAACATGATAGTTGTTGCAGAAAGCCTCGATTACGAAGAAAAGAAAAAACATCGTATAAAGGTAAATTGTACGGACCGAGGTCATCCACCAAAATCTTCATCCATCCAGAGTTTGTTTGTTGTTGTACGAGACATTAACGAATTCCCCATGGATATAATTTTGACGGGTAATCGCATCCCGGAGAATTGCGTTCTCGGGTCGGTCATCGGCGACTTCCTTGCGACGGATGACGATAATGACACGTTAAAGTTTTATTTGAATCACAGTAGTATTTTGGTTCGTGAAAAGTTTGCTCTACAAGGTTTGTATACATGGGGATTTTTGATTTTTATCCATAACCTTTGATAGCGTGATTTAGTTTTCTTCATTCTTTAATATCAAATACAAAAAATTATCAGTTTAATAACAATAGATTAAATCAACACTGACTCTGAGTACTTTGAAAATTCCAAATTTTTATCTGCAGTTAGTAAATCCAGTTTTGTTTACATAAAAACTTCTTTCAGGTGTTCCAAACGTTGAAAATCGTACAATGAACGATAAATCAACTAATTTTTACTCGATTCCCCTCGTTGTTAACGGTTCTCTTGATTATGAAGAAAGAAACATGTACATTATTTGGTTGGCTGTCGCAGATCCTGTGAGAATGGCGCTCAAACAATTTCGGATCGAAGTAACCGATGTAAACGAAGCTCCAACTGATATTTTGATGTCTAAAAATTTTGTAGCAGAGAATTCTCCAGCTTCAACGGTGATTGGAAAGTTTTTGGTGAGTTAAACATCAATCGGTTGCTTAGATTTCGTGTTTGTAAAAAAGATATACCGAGATTCCCCGAAGGCAATGTTTTTGTTAAAAAATATAAATGCTTTTTTTAAGAATTCATTTTAACTGTCGCATTTTTCAATTCTTTCAAAACTTCACACTATCACTGTAACTTCGTAAAAGCAATTTCAATCCTAATCCAACACTAAACATATTTTAGTCAGAAAGAACTTATACTTAACAAGGAGACATACAATTACCTTATAAAAAACTTAGCCTAGAACATGCATTAAGAGTATACTTCTGTCACAGGTAAAAGATCCAGATGTAAAAAGTGTGCCACCTCAAATCCATATTTGCTCCCTCGAGAACTCATTAAATGGTGACGGAGATGAAGATGAGTTTTACATTACTCACGAAACTGATAGCAATTTTCTCCGAGTTAAATATAATAGCCTTCTCGATTTTGAAGAAAGAAATGTTTACAATATCAATGTCACTTGTAAAGATGCTGCTGGCCTCGATATTTCAAAGTCATTTAAAGTTTTCATCACTGGTAAGTCTAGCTTTTAACCCTTTACTTCCCAAGTTTTTTGATCCTATGAGTTTGGGATGATTTCATTGATGTTGTCAACGACAACGCTGGGAAAGAAAGGGTTAATCACATCGTGAGTGCTGTTTATGTTGAAGTTGGCTGGCAAAAATCAGTCAACTCTGAAGCCTTGAACTCTGAAATTTGGTGAAAGATCGTAATAGAAAATGTGCTTTAGTTGCTGAATTTTTGCTTAAGATAATATTTTTTCCTATTTTGTGCTGTCTGTTATTTGTCAGTTTTTGTATTCAATGTTGTTTTTACTTCAGTTTTTATAACTCTCCTAACATGACCTATGTTGGCATTTTAACCGCTGACGATCCTGATGGTTCAAATCAGTCCTTTATTTACACTCTTGCTGATAATATTGCGTCTTTTGTCATTGGTGGAACCAATCATGATGAACTATTTCACTTAGGATCTGTTAATTACGAGCTTACACCAAGTTTAGTGGTACTCATAATTGTGAGAGATTGCGGTGGATTGCATTTTGAAAAGAATTTTACCATAACTGTTTTAGGTTTGTTTCTTTACGTTAAAGCCGTAAATAAATTAAATCTAGATTATGTTAGGTAACACCAAGTTTACAGAGTACTAGTCAGGGTGAACAATTTTCGTGTGACTGACGATTATATGTCATAATGTTTGGAAAGATTGATAAGGGGATGGTGGGATTAACATGATTCTAAATAAAAAAAGCGGTTCTTAAGAGGTTCTAAGAGTGGCTTAGGGATTACGTAGTTTCAAACACAAACACCAAATCAGTTACACAGTTTAGCTACATAGTATTGGGTGACAAAAAGCATTAGGAATTGGGAGTCAATTTAAAACTACTCCCCGACAATGGCATGCTGGCAGGGGGTCATGCCCTCCCCCCAGCTGTTGATTTTGACGGTGCAGAAATGAATATGGGGCATCAAAATTTGAATTTGGGTTGGAAAAACGCATTAGACACTATGTAATCAGTAATATTCTATCCCCAAAGTCCAGGAAATGGAATTTTAGCTAGAGCTTCTTGATTTAAAAATGTTCCACGAGAGCATGCCTCTGACTCCCTCAGTACGACTCGCATCCGTTGTGCTCGGCTCGGGACTTCAGCACACGTTTTTAAACGGTGTGGTATTAATGTTTATCAGTATTTTTGTTCTCTTCATGAT